AAAAAAAAAAAAAAAAAAAAAGGAAAATTGGCAATCTTATTGGAGTTTTTTTTTTAGTTTCAAACATCGAAGGAACAGAAGCAAACAAAAATTTTAACTTTTTATTTCATTTATTTTCTGCTCTTAAGCTTTTTTTGGTTTTTTGTTGAATGCGAGGAGCAAAACTGAATAATACTTTGACAGTTAGATTGGACGCTTTTTGCCTGTTTGCTGGAGCCCATGAACTGGGTGAACATACGGACAGATGCACAGATGGATGGATGGATGGGTAGATGGCTGAAAAAAAAAAAAAAAGTTGAAGTTTGCAAACGAAATGTCTGTTTAGTTGGCTGTTTTGATACCGCTCATAAGTCACGACAGTTGGATATGAAACAGCAAAAAGGGAAGGCTGAAACTAGTAGAGGATTAGCAAAAAAAGGGCATAAGAAAGGAGAGGGCGAAGGGATTTGACAATTTGGAAATTGTTACTCTTTGCCGCAATTTTCACCTTTACTCAGCGACGGGGCATTAGTGTTTTTTTTTTGTTTTGTTCGGCTATTGCAAAGTCATATTTTACTTTTACTAAGGGCAATTGTTATTCGATTTATCATAAAGAGAAGAGAAAAAAAAAAAACGAAAAACTTTGAGGGTAATCAGATTAAGTTTATTTTAGCCATTATTTATAGGTAATTGATTTTTGCTTGTGTATTCAAGGGAAAGTTTATGGACAGGAAAAAAACCAGACAATACTGGTGGACTAAATGTTTTAAAATAGCAATTGATGAGTTAGGAGTGTAGAGAAATGGTGAAGATGGGTTTTTTTTTGTTTCAAACACCTTTTGTTGTTTCAAATTAATTGGCTGCAAAGAAGGAAAAGGGGAGGAAAGAATAGAAACCAAAAAGAAATTGATGAAGTAATAGTTGTTTTTTTTTATTTTTGTGATGAAAGGAACGGGAAATAGGTGGGAAGGAAATATGGAAACAGCAAGTGTTTGCTTTCAATATCAGCCATTTCAATTACGCTTACTAAAACTGGGCAACTTTTGACATTTTGAAGTATGATTGAAAGCTGTAGTTTCTTACTTTTTCAGCTGTTATCAGTAGCAAAAAAATTCTTTTTTTTATGTTCCACTGAATTAAAGTTCGTTTGAGAAGGCGTGAGAGAAGGAAAAAATTTTTTTTTCTGTTTTTAGTAATGAAGCATTCATTAAAGCACTGAAATTTTTTGTTTTTATATTATTATTGTTCTTAGTGTCGTTCTATTAGGTTGCTTTTGCCAGTTATGATCATTTTGTTCTCTTTAGCTGAGGAATATTTATACATTGATAGATAGACATTGGTGGACAGACATCTTTAAGAAAAGTACATATATATGTATATAATTAAGCTATCTAATTTAACGCTTGTTAGAGGAAGGTGAATGAAATTTGGTGTTATTTATGGAGTATTGGAAAAGTGGGGGTTGTTGTAAGTATTCAGTGGGAGGAATAATGAGGAAAAGGGTCGTACATAGAAGCACGTGCACGAACTATCATCTTCATTATCAGTTTAGTGGTTTTGGTAGAGGAAGAAGCTTTGTTACCAATATTATTATTGCTATTG